ACAAGTCCTTTCTTAAATAAAACTAGTTTATTCTTTCTCAATTCAACTTTGCAATACACTTAATTTCCACAGTCAATCTAACTTAACTAATTTTATAAAAACACGTTATAATTCACAGGGAACGATTCACGCACTTACTTACTACCATGCTTGACTCAATTGTCCATCTCTATCTGTCTACAATTCTAACCTGATTAATTGTCTGCCGCACTTAGATACAAGAATAGAGGGCATCTAGCAAATACTGGATTATTCGTGATGCTCGCCGATCTTTCTAGAACGCATTACGTGTTACCAGCATCACATGACTTCTGCTGTCGTAACAATATCTTTTTCTTAGTTTAACTAAAATGACCTAAGTACTTCAAATTCTATACAACTGCGTGAAAAAAAAACCTATCTTGCAAATTCTGCAGATCGGTATACTTTTGTATTACAACAAGTTACATCACCATATTGTTATTGTATTACAGTAAGTTGCATCACCATATTGTTATTGTATTACAGTAAGTTGCATCACCATATTGTTATTGTATTACAGTAAGTTGCATCACCATATTGTTATTGTATTACAGTAAGTTGCATCACTATATTGTTATTGTATTACAGTAAGTTATATCACCACATTGTTTTTGCATTACAGTAAGTTACATCGCCATATTGTTAAATAATACCTCATAACTTTCACGTGAATAGCCATACTTTCTGATCAGAATAAACAAAAATTATTTAATGGCAACAATATTTTCACATTCACTACGTATATAATTTCAACCAAGTAGACCATATTAATATTACCACCATTTTTTATAACATATGACATACTCAGTCATCTAAAAAGAGAAACTTCATATGCACAAGAAGTTAAACCATACTTTAAAAAGTACATTAAAATCTACTGTGCGAGTGTTTTTCTATCGAGTTTTTTTTGCAAATATATCATCCTACCTCATGGTATTGCACATAAAAAAACATACAATGATTTTACTGCTACTTCTAACACAGTTTTACTAGAATAACATACATGCATAACAAACATTAGTTTCTACTACTGTATTTTATAAATCACAATTAACAGTTCACATAAAAATCACTAATCAAATGTTTCACTGCATTTACTAACATTACATAATATTTGGTAAACAAAAAAAAACAAATTATTATGGACAAAGAAAATTTCAAAAACTTGTTTTCTTAAATAAATTTCTGTTGTATCACAATGAAACTTTTAACCTCCATTATGTTACCAAACTTAACCTCCAAATTTTCTGTACGACAATGTCCTACTTTTGCCACAATATAAGTAATCTACATTTAAATACAGAAAAACTAACTATAAAATCACAAGTACAGCATGCTATTATCATTTAACATGCACACAAACAAGGTAATTGCAGGATAACTGGCCTATCAAGAAGATCTTTATCACTTACATAGTGAAAACCATGCATCTGCAACCCAGCTCACTTTTCGTGTCAGCATTAAATTTTATTGGGTCCAAAGAACTCAACCATTTGGAAAAATTGTGGTCCCCTTATATTTTTACACAAAACAAAAATATCAGAACTTTTTAATTTTCTCATTAACTTACTAGTTGCAATAACATTTGAATGTTTTCTACATTGCACAGATTTACCCATGGTAATTTACCTTGCGTTTCTCACTTTACAGAAAAGCAAGGAAGCACATGATTTTGAAAATTCAAATCAAATTGCAACATGGTGAATTCTGTAAAATGTGACAAAGCATTTCTGCTACCTGTAACATCACATAAACAGTATGGACACTGTGGTGTCAAATGAAAGCAAAATGCAGACAAAATATCTCAATTTTTATTGCAAACTATATGATGGGTGAATAGAATGAGAAGAGCAACATGAAGGTAAATATCAATTGTAGTTTGCACTCCCAGAATACATAAAAAACAATCTTCTCCATTTCACAATTTAAAATTTCAACATTTACATTTATAAAGTTCATTAATGTAAACATTGCACACTAGGCAACTACTATGTAATATAACCCATTTTCAACCATGCATTCGTATCTATTCTGAAAAATGTAAAATAATCCAAAGTAACAATATAAACATCACATATTAGCTACTCTAGTAAATCTAAAAGTGAAACAGTTTTTCACAAACAAGACATCAATCTGTCCTTAAACAGTTGCTAATCTGCTATATTCCAACAAGTACATTTATTCAAGTTCAATGCAAATGTGATACAGTGCATATCTGTTGTTAGGACTACACTTCCCTTTGTCAATATTCAATAGTGTATTTTATCATGGGATCTAACAATAAAATAACTAAGTCAAAGGTACATTTACTCTATCTTATTTACGTATATAAAGATATTGTTTTTATGCTTCAAATTCCAAAATTCTGAGCAGCACAATAAGTGGCATTAAAACTAATGCTCGTACTTGACACAAAATATCACAAGTAAAAACAAACTTCTTTGTATTGTTGACAAAATGCAATAAAAACACAACACCTGGGTTTAGATATAACTAAAGGAAAATTGTGCTCACCAGAATGGCATTGATCGTCAGAACCCCAATAAGGAAAATGTAATAATTAATGTGCGTGTACTTAAACATATGAAGCCTGAATACACAAGGAAAACCTTATTCACAGTTCTATGTATATCAGTATATATACACACATACATACTGCAATCTATAAAGTTTACAATGTATGAGATTACTGGTTTTTGTTTTCTACAGGTATTAATTATAGCTGTTTTTTCAATGTACTTAAATTTACACAACAGTTTCCTCTGTTAACAAAATGCAGAAAAGAAGGGATAAGATTGGGTGACGTTTATTTTTCCACATATAGTAAATGTAATGGAGTCCTGCTTACATCTACGCATCTAATAAGCAGTTACTAGCATACGTGATGACACACTACTTATATATATATCTAGGTCAAAAATACTTTAAATACTAAGTTTTAATCATATGCTAAATATATCTGGCTAAGGGTACACATATATATTGAGTAACTACAATGTTTCAGTGTGCTTTCTGAAGCTGTAAACAAAGCTGGGACACAAAAAAATTAAATACCTGTACACTACAATATATATATAAATTGATGTATCAAAACCACCACGCTTTCAAAATTGCTTAAACATATTCTACAAGATTTATTTCAAGATAATACAATCAATTTTCTGATGTAAGTGCCACTCCTAATCTCAATAAAACATTAATAAAATGCTTGAGAAAAAATGCCTCAGAATCTTATTCATTGCAAAGCTAATTTTGAAATATTTTGTAAGTTACACAAATCAGGGTATGAAATTAATGTGTGCTTGGTGCAAATTCTCATAAAAAATCATGTTGGGAACATAAAAATAAAAATGGATGGGGCCAACTGATATGAAAAAAATTGTAGCAATTGTTTCACACATTGGAAAACAACATTGTTGTTTCCAACCAGTAGAAAAGGAAATGTACTCTTAAAATGTTAAGATTATGTTTTTAGTACCATGAATTTATGAGTTTGTGGTACTTATCTACTGCAAATACAGGGTTTCTTTTGCTTATGTTGTCTATTAACTCATAGATCATTCCATTTCTATAGTTAGTTGCCTATACCATTGCTAAGTCTTGTTTGTAATTAGTAAGTTTTTCTTTTCATATTTGGATACTAATATCCAAGAATTTTGGCCAATACCAAGTCAGAAAATAGTCCTTCATGACTTCCCTGAAGAGGCCAAAATGTATGATGAAAACTAGCTAGTAATTAGTATCTAAATATAATTATCAAAGTTACTAATTAAGATTACACTTAGACAATTCTATAGGCTACTAACCACAACAACAATTAATATACAATCACCACAGCCTTACTATAAGTACTTGTAGATCATTTGGTTGATTTCTACTAATATAATGAAATAAGTGTTGTCCAACTGGGATTAGAATCCATTTCAGGTCCATACATAAAGTTAATTTACAGGCCAGTTTTGTGTTGGCCTACCTCTGTCAGTGACAGTTGCTAAAAATCACATGGGAGGAGACTTATATAGAGTATTTGTATAATCAGCAGTTTATGCATGTCACTTTTCAACCCAGTGAAATCTATATATGCATAAACATATATGTGTACAAAGTGCATTAATGCAAAAACTAGAAACTAGGCAACTATTATATAACGTACTCATTTACAACCGTTCAACCATACACTTGTATCTATTCTAATAAATACAAAAGAGTCCAAAGTAACAACAGAGACACCACATATTTATTATTATTTACCTTATAATTTATCTAAGCCTAGATCTAATATTGAATAGTAGAGCAATGGCAACAACTGTAAACATCTTTAATGAACACATATTCCATCTTCAGCAACTCTATGAAAATGACAAATTGAACAATCTTTAGAACAATTACCAATACAAAAATAAAATTAATAGTGTTAGAAAAATGATAAAACATTCAATTCAAAAACGAGATAATGAGTTTGGCACCTCCATTTACAGAAAGAAAACTTTTACTGATTTGTACACACGATTTGAAAGTTTTCTACTCAAACCATTCAAACTAGACTTAAGTCTTAACTCTTCTTCACAGGGCCTACTCGATCTGCTCAGATTACACCTCTATCCATAATGAAATAACCTTCCTTCACAATACCTTAAGAAAAATTGGGTATCCTTCATCCTTACTACAAAACTTAACACATAACTTTCTTACTAAGAAAATAACTCCACCACATAATTTCCAAACATGTTCCACACTCCCTCTAAACTTGTTATTCCTTACCTTAAAAACAAAGTTTTATTGTTAAAACCCAACTCAACAAGCTACACATGTCCTACTACCCTCAGATTAAACTCTGTATTGTCTTCAAATTGTCACTTCTTGTCACATGGAATATGTGTAATTCTGAAACATTCATTGAAGATGCTTACAAATTGTTGCCATTGCTCTGCTATTCATTATTAGACTTCATATTTCCCCAAATGTATCAATATCCTAGATCTAGACTTATATTAGTAACAATAAGCAATGCAGGTGTCCTAATGCTAACCAAAAGGCCTAGATGAACAGAAGGTCTGAGCAATATTGATTAAGACTTGAAAGTTAAGAGATCTAAGCCATATAATGCTTCATAATTACTATCATTAACACAGCAGAAGTACAGATTCTTGTTAGTATACTGTTTTATAGATTTATGCAATCTAAGCACTAGACTGATACTTATATGTAGATGTAAAATAAATCATAACATGCCATCTTGATTTGATACTTATGCTTGTGACTACTTAGGTCCAAATATAGAACCATCTATGTCTAGGTGGTGATGAAAATTTGCCTGATGTAGGAAAGTCTCGAGTCATGAGTTAGCCATAATAATGCTGTGAATTTGTTCTGAATGCTTATGTATTTGAAGAAAAAGAAAACCTTAGTAATATATGGACACTTATACTTTTGTTGATTTTGTAGGGGGGGGGGGTGAGTTTACTTAGGACAGACACATCTCTTATGCCACCTAAATATTTGACAACTTGTAAGAAAGAAAAATGTACTCATTCATATAGTCGATCATAACACTTTCTGCACAGGATTTAAAAAAACATACAGAACTGTGTACAAGTTTTTAAGAAAAAAATTGACCAACTAATAACAAATGAGGTTTCAGTGCAAAACTGTGAATACATCTTAATAATAAAATAAGTAAAAAAAAGTGTTTACCTGGCAACTAGAATTAGTGATCAGATTATGAGGAAAGATCTTGCAAGCCAATTATCAAATTCATCAAAAAAATTACCATTTTCTGTCTGTTGTTTTCCAGTCAAAACTGGAAGAGAAATGATAATCATTCCCACAGCACTCCAACAGTACTTCATGAGGAACTGCTCAAGCATGACATAGTAAAGACGTTTGTTGAAAATTAGATTCATCTGTCTGGCAAGAGACCTATAGCTTCTCTGTAGCATTGTTAGTTCAACCTTTTAAAGAAAACCATACACTGTAAAACTTACAATTAAATAATCAAAATGAAAGGTTATAATTCTTTAAAACTAAGTCTTCATATAACTAACTATTTCTTTCAGATACTAATATCAAACTTGCTGTTACTGTACTATATAGGGTAGCACAAAAACCTTGTCAAAGGGTTGAAAAAATCTAAAAATTAAAATCAGGCATAATTGCGAGATCAGGTTTAAACTATTAGCTAATTCTTATATATATGTGTGTGTGTGTGTGTGTGTGTGTGTGTTGTGTACACATACATACATACAAAAATATAGTGTTAACTGCATCTTAAAAGAAAGAAATGCAGATGATAATGCAGCAGCATGTCACAACACATATGAGCCGTGACACCATGGGTGATAGGTTCAGTCTCAATTTATAGATTTGATTCAGTTTATGGTAAATTCCTGGTCATTCAATATGCAATGCTGCCATAGATAGAGTTTGGCTAGAGGAATATATCAGAGCCATTTCTCCAGAAGGATATTCATTAAGTGAAACTAACTACACGATGTGTAGTCAAAGGACACAAAATATGAAAGAGGAAGGCCTTCAAAATTCTTCACTGAAGCAGAAAATCTCACACAACAAAGCATTTAAAATAGCAAAGGGCTTTCAAACCACACACAAAGCCAATTCAAAGTAATGTCATCATCTACACAGTGAAAGCTACGGTTATAGTAAGAACCCTCTGACCTCAAATAAAAGCTGTTGTGATGATGCTAGGCACATCTTCTGTTACCTTTTATAAGATAACCAAGGATATCAAGTCAACAAAAACTCATAAGTCATAAAGTTTTCACATTTACAACTCCATGTCAAAATTAACAGTTGTTTTTCATCAAACAACATGAATTAAGATCACAGTAATCCCATTTAACAGCATGTATAGTCTTCCAATACAACTCCAAGGGACTGACAGAATACCTAGTCTATCAATACAGACTCAAGGGACTGACAGCATACTTAATCTCCTGATACAGCTTCAAGGGACTAAAATATCTAATCTCCCAATATAGCTCCAATGTATTGACAGCATACATAATCTTCCACTACAACTCCTGGTTACTGACAGCATACTTAGTCACCTATTGTGGCTCCAAGAGACTTTTGGTTTGCTTAAACAAGGCCTAGGAAGCTGGCATCTAGATGCAGTGAAAGGCATATAAAAGGTCTGTCAAGATGAATGGTCTAAGAATGCCTTTGTCCTTTAGAGAACCTTTTTATGATGGAAATTGGGGAATCTACTAATATCATATAACCATGGCCATCAGAGGGATAAAGGAGTTTCAGTGGCAGCACAAGACCTGTATAAACAAATTTAAACATTTAAAGATGTATTAAGTACACATTTACTTGTTTGTTTTTTGAATTTTGTGCAAAGCTACACGAGAGCTATCTGCATTAGACGTACCTAATTTAGCAGTGTAAGACTAGAGGGAAGGCAGCTAGTCATCACCACCCACTGCCAACT